GATAGTCTCTTCAACAGATGGTGCCGGCAGAACTGGAAAGTGATATGCAGAAGATTGAAACAAGACCTTCACCCTCATGCCTTATACAAAAACCAGCTCAGCATAGATTAAAGACTTAAATGTGAATCCCAGAATTATGAAGGCCATCAATAAAAAAATAAGGACAAATGTGAGGGCACTAATTCAGGGAAACACAGACTACCAAACATTTTGAAAAGCACACAAACAAAAGTAGACAAAATAGATGATTGGGACATACTAAAAATTAAAACTTATGTGCATCAAAGACTTCACCAGGGTACTCATTTCTAAAATATATAGGAAACTACAACACCTCTACAAGAAAAAGACAAACCAATTAAAAAATGGGCACAGGGCATGAACAGACACTTCACGAAGGAGGAGAGATGCAAGTAGCCAACACACTTTTGAAGAAATGTTCACGATCACTAGCCATTAAAGAGATGCAAAATCAAAACCACAATGAGATATCTATCATCGCACACCAACAATAAGAGCAAAGATCAAAAGAGTCAATGTGGAGAGACTGGGACCCGCCTGCATTGCTGCTGGGATTGCAAAATGGTCCAGCCTCTCTGGAAAGCAATATGGAGCTTCCTCAGAAAGTTGGAAATAAAAATACCTTATGATCCAGCAATTCATGTACTTAATATTTATCCACAAGAAATACGAGCATTAACACAAATAGATAGATGCACACCATAGCAGCACTATATACATTTGCAAAAAGAGGGAGACAGGCTAAGTGTCCATCAACTGAAGAATGGATAAACAAACTGTGGTACATACACACAATGGAATATTATGCTACCTTAAAGAATAACAAGGAAGCTGAAAGCTACCACATAACATGGATGAACCTTGAAGACAGTATGTTGAGTGAAATTGGTCACAAACGGAGAAATACTGCATAAGACCACTACTGTAAAAGACTAAGAAAAAGAACCTATACTAAAATGGGGGCGGGGGGTGATTCTTCGCTGGTTACTGGGATTTGGGGGGTAGGGTGAGGGAAGGGAAGGGAAGGTGGAGTACACGGTAGGGATTAGATACAGGATAGGTTGGGTGCTAGAGAAGGGAATGGAAGAACAAAGCGGACGGGAAAAAAATTAGACTGTTTTGCATAGGTTAAGTGGGACAGAGGTTAATAATGATGTATGCACAACCTTGGCAGCATAGGGCTCTGCAATACAGTGATTTGAGACATGGTTGGAATGGGGAAAGGGGGGGAATAATGTTAAGATGCTTGGTTGTCTTTTGAATCTTGGTTTCCCTGGCATAACATCATAAAATACACACTTGAGGAGGGGGAGAGAAAGGAATAGCCAGAAATATCACCATAGAAAGCTTGTAAGTCCGTCTTCTGCCTATAACTGATTAGAATGCTTAAAATGGGGCTACAATGTGCCCAGTGAAGGAGGTTTCCTATGGAGCCTCTGCAGTACATAAGACCATAGCTGGAATCCCAAACCCCATCCAGAATCTTCTGAGGTGGGAAGTTTCCACTTGAAAGGACAAGCAGACCAGTCTGGAGCAGCTAGAACAGAAAATACTTGAAAGAAAGACCGAAAGATAAAATACAAAACAATATAGGCAATCCGACATTACTACAAGAACAAGCAAGTTGCTCGCCCAGGAGATACCAAGGCAAGTGGTCAGGTCCCATCAGAACAAACCCCCTTCCTAGACTAAGACTCAATGGGAATACACACTCTGATTGGTGACCACGTTCGTCACC